AATTCGTTTCACTTTGCACTTTTCATTCTTGCAAACTAAATATCACTTTTTTACAAAAAAGTGATTTTTGACGTCTAAGTTTTATTAATAATAAGTTTTTATTAAAAAGCGCTCATCTATCAAATTTGACATTTTAAAACAGATGAGCTATTTCTGATTAATTACAATGATTAATTTAAAAAAAAAAAGTTAAAGTTTTATAGGTAATTGTACTTTTTAAAAAAAGTAGTTAGAAAAGCGAAATTTTCGGAAAAACGTCGGTTCACCAAGGACGTATTAATAGATGGACATTTAACCCATTGTTGTAGATCTGGGTGCGGATTCACCAAACTTTCGTAACTCTTGCGTAGCTTAACTAAGGTTACGGAAATCGTAAGTTCAGCGTAGTTTTGGTATTCACCAATGTTTCGCAGCATTTCCGTAAAGTTAGGGTTGCGCACGAGTTGCGCCAAACTTACGCAAAAACTTACGCAAAAATCAACCAAGTTAATTTTTGTTTGAATAAACCAAGTTTTCGTAATTTTATAAAACAAACTTTTCTAATATTGAATTCATATAATTTCTAACTATTTTAAATTAGGGGTTATTACTAATTAACATTTTTCACACCCTAATAAAATGACAATAATATTTTTTTATAAACTTTGCTGTAAAAACTAAATACTTTTTATTGAATATTTATTTAAAAAAAAAATTATAAATATTAGGAAAATAGTTTTAAGTTGAAAAGAGGTAGAGAGGGTTCAGAATTGATTATTCTACAAAGAGGTTATTAAGGGCAGATAAATTTTTAAATTGTTTAATATGCAATTAATAAGTAAATAAAAAACTTTCATTTTTTTCATTCATAAATATCACGTAAATCATATATATCCCCATATCCCCTTCAATTTAATAACATAGTTTTAACTAGTGTTCTTTGTACAATGCTAAATTGAAATGGTTGACTTGTGTTAATTCAACCTGAACATAGTGTACATTATCTTCGTTGTTGTCCTCAAAGTTTATGTCATCTGGAATTTTTAATCCTAAGGAATTGTAAAATTTTTCCAGCAACTTACACTTAAAATATATTTTGCAATATATAGTTTGGGTAAGCATATGTTTAGGAGCACTAAAGTGCTTCACGTCTCTTGTGACATCCAATGGTTTTTGAAATGATCAAAGGGTTGCCCCACATCACTATCTATTTGTAGGTGAACTTTATTGAAATAGATTTTTTCTGGTGTAGTTGGCTGATTAAATGGTGCAATCATGACTGTTAATAAGCATAAGGAAATCTGCATTAGGATTATATTCTAATGTCTTTTTCAATTCAAAAATAGAAAAAAATAAAAATTATTCTTTTTTTGAATTGACTAGTAGTTTTTACCAATTACTATTTGAAACTCCCAGTTAACTTTAAAACTCTCAGTTACATTTTTGCTTCTGAAGAAATTGGGTTGCTCCTCAATATGCTTGGTGACAAATCATTGTTAATGTGTTAGCTTTATATACTTTATATATTTTTATACAAATGAGATTTTTTAACACATTCTACATTAGAGTAATCGTTTAAAGCAGTATATTGAGCTTAACGCTAGATTTGATCTTGACCAAATTAATCAAATTTCTAATTAAACTAAAACAAAATAAAGCTATTAAAACAACTAAATGAATTATGATAGTTAAACTTAATGAGACACGTACCATATAACAAAAAACTGTGAAATAGAATATTTATAAAGATATACTCGCTTTTTTGTAAATATATAGTGTTTTATTAATACTTATAAAGATATAGTTGCTTTTTTTATGAATATAATAATTCAATAATTGTATATATTACCAAAATCATAACTGCATTATAACAATACAGTATCTTTTAAAATATAATTCAAATAATATAAAATATACTATAATATATTAATTTAAATAACAATGTTACTATTATTTTGCATAAGATGTTATGCTATATTAATAATATAATAATATTTTAATATAAATAAATTAAATACATTAGGTTTAACTTAATTAATAACATAACATCTTAATGGTTGTCATAAAGATGTTAAATCAATATTTATTTATAATATATCATCATGATGCATGTAATTTAAATATATTCGAACCCTATTATATGCTATATTACAACTTTAAGATAATAAATTGATCATATTATACAAAAATATAACAATAATACTATGATGTTATAATACACAATGTTTTGGTTTGTTAAACAGTTATATAACTGACAAAAACGTGATGACCTACAAATCTATATATACGTGTGTTTGTATATATGCATATATATATATATATATATATATATATATATATAAATATATATATATATACATATATATATATATATATATATATATATATATATATATATATATATATATATATATATAATATATATATATATATATATATATATATATATATATATATATATATATATATATATATATATATATATATATATATATATATATATAAACACACATACACAATC